AATGTTACAGGGTAATTTTGACATCTGTGGGTTATATATATATATATATATATATATATATATACTATGATAAAAATAAAATTTATTGGCTTTTCTTACTAGATTACTTAATGTTAAGTCAAAACAATTTGTTTGTGCCATGATTTTAATTTAGACCGTACCATGTGGTAATTAGTACTTACCTTATACCATTGAATTGCAATAACAATTAAATGTCAGGGCAAATGTACTGTGTAATTAAAACGCTTTTTTTGTTTGTTTTTTTATAACAGTACCTTTCTCTGCAATTACAGTGCAAATAGTGTTGTTTCTTGCTACATAGTAAGTAGCTTTGTTACCCCCTTGTTCTGCGTAGTTACAGGGTAAGTGTAACTCCTGCGGGCTGTAAATTAAAGTTGTGCTTGTTACCCCTTTATTACCCAAAACTTAACATATTGTTCCCTTATACCTACACGGAAGTACACTATAATTACAGAAATGTACACCGTAATTTCAGTGTACTTACACAGTTGTTTGAGGGTCGTAAAATAAAGTGTTACCAAGTTATGTCCATTCCATGAGCTAATATGTCTATTTTAGGTACTAATATGTTAATTTTAGGTGTTAATATGTACATTTCAGGTGCTAATATGTACATTTTAGGTTCTAATATGTACCATAAGGTACCAATATGCAGCCAAAAGTGTACCTCTTGAAAAGGAACAGCCCCAGTGATGGCTTTTGTACCTTTCTTTCTGAGAGTGTAACCTGCTCCTTCTAAACTAGCATCTGTGTTTTTCCTGTAGACCTTGTAAATCTCTCTGCTGTAGATGAGCTTGCCTTTAGATGCACCCCTGCTTGACCTTTTAATACCTGCGGTCACTGTCTCTTAATATGAAGTGCGCAGTAGTGGATCTCGCTCATTAGCGTCTGATCTGCGCTGATCACTGAATCTGTAGCGTGTGACCTGTGGAAGGGGTGAAGGCATCAATCGAATGATACAGATAAATCTGTGCATACGGATGGATGGAGACATGGAGGATTTTAATTGCAGGTTTCATAATCACAGAGTCACCGGGGTTTAAATGCAGCTACAATAGGGGCTGTTTTTTATGCATACCTTATAACACTCATTACATTACGCAACAGCAGACATAATGATGCTAAACTTCTTTTACTTGTCTTTTTCCAAAGCCTTTTGCTACTGGACTGGACTATGACGCTATTTTACGCTATTTTCTTCTAAAAGTAAATTTTATTGCATTATCATCCTGTAAAGCTTCTTTGGAACAATCTGTATTGTAAGAAGCGCTAACTAAATAAAGGTGACTTGACTTTTTGTGTTTCTTACTTTTAATAGTTATATTTTTATTTCTGATGCCCATCGTGTTAAGCTGCTTTGAATCACCGGTGTGCATGAAATCAATCAATAAACAAAATAAATAAACTATATTACAGTCAGCATGAAATCGAAATCTTTTTTTTTTTTTTTTTTATGGAATATGGCAGTTTATTTTAAATGATTTATCGGTGCACATTAATATTTTATTAAATTCGTGTTCCTAGTAATCTTGAATCAGAATAACTGCAGCGGCATCTCTTCTCTGTTCTCTGATGATGTGGGCGGGGCAACCTGTCACTCACGTGAGATCCACCAATAGCAAACCACAACCATCCAATCAAGTCCACACGGACAAAATCAAGCCCCGCCCACATTGTTTCACTCGGATATACGACACAACTCCCACTTCATGCTAACTTTAAATATTAAACGCATCATCACGTCACACAGATTTGCTTCCAAAAGCCTCTTCTAAGAGGATGCCGACTTAAAAGTCAGCAAAACGGCTCACTAGGTTTAGGAACAGAGCTACCGAATGCATACGGGTCAGTGAAATATCCAAGCCTCAGTCTGAATAATACAGTGTGTGGCCTTTATCTTGCGTAACAATGCTGTGGTGATGTGTGACCTAGCTGTGGTAATTACAGAGGTGTGTAAACTCAGTCTATTGTGTTCAGAGCGAGAGAAGCGACGGTATATTATCTGTGCCACAGCAACAATGTGGACAACACCAGTGTTGGCTATGAGAGATCTGTAATCCACTGCGCTTAAAGGAATAGTATAAGGCAAAAATGAAAAATGTGCTCTCATGCTGATATTTTTTCTGTGGAAGATCTCTGAAAATATCATTCAAGATTCAGAAACTGAGCTTTGAGGTCAAACAGAAACAGTCCTGGTTCTTTAAAGCAAACATGAGATGTCATAGCAATATATAATATTATATAGATACACTGTAAAAATGAATATGCTTTATCTAATCAATATAATTGTGGCAACAGATTACAAGCAATATTGTTAATTAAATTTAAAAAAAAACAATAGAATCGAGTAATAATTAATCAAATCATTCCTTAAAAGTTAACCATTTAAAATGAGTAAAGTTTACACCAAAAAAAATTAACAAAAATATCTCACAAACATACCAACCCGATCTCATGACCAAATCGTACGAATTCCACGAATGATTAAAAAGTGGCTAATTCGTAACAATTCATACGACCTCACTCGTACGAATTAGTACGATTTTGCTAAATCGTACATATTTTACGAATTGGCCAATTGAATTCGTACAAATGACCTACCCCTGACCCCGCCCCTAAACCTCATTGGGTTTAGACAAATCGTACGAGTGAGGTCGTACGAATTAGACACTTTTTAATCATTCTTCGAATTCGTACGAATTGGTCGTGAGATCGGGTTGGTCTGTTTGTGAGATATTTTTGTTACATTTTTTTGGTGTAAACTTTACTCATTTTAAATGGACAGACGTCAAAGATTAATTAAGATCTCTTTATTTTATATTGCCAACATTGAAGACACCTGATGTTAACAAGCAGAAAACCGTCATTTTAAAACAAACGTTAACATTTTAAATGGTTAACTTTTAAGGAATTAATTTGATTAATTATTACTCAATTCTAATTTGTTAAATTTAATTAATAATATTGCTTGTAATCTGTTCCCACAATTTTTTTGATTAGATAAAGCATATTCTTTTTTAACAGCGTAATATAGCCTATAGATAATTATATTATCTATATATATATCTAAGCTGAGGAGATGTTCTTCTGTTTTGCCAGATATTAGTTTTAATTTTCCTCGCTTTTATTTTGTAATTATTTTAATTCCTGTCTGTGTAAAGCAGTCTGAATTACTATAGTGAAATGCTATATAAATACACTTGCCTTGCCTTGTTAAAAAGAAAAAAAAAGCATAATGGAGAGTAAATATTGACAAAAATTTCATTTTGTGTGGATGTATTCCTTTAAAAACATCTCTTAGATTATTTAGGTATCAAGAAACTCTGGAATAAGAGATCATCTCAGTGAGCAAAATGGACAACTTTCAATTATAAGACAAAGAGCTGATGACAACAAAAGCAAACTTCCTTTCAGCACCGACACACACACACACACACACACACACAAGAACACGTAGCCTATCAACCTCGATATTACATCAGTGTATTCCCACACTGCCTTTAATATCCTCCAGGAACAACGTTGCAATCTCATAATGTCGAGCAGAATAAAAGCATCTCCTCGGGATCAATAGTAAACAAGGCAAACAGCAGCGAGTCTCCTGAGGGGTTGGGTTCGCTGTTCCTGCACTCCTTATTCACATTCATGAATGAAAACAGTGTGTAAACGCAACCCACTCACACACATCCAAGCCAGACAGCATTTGTGAACATGCATTTAGCCTATTTTTGAATGATGAACAGACGGTGTAATAATTATTTGTCTGTCTGAAATGACTAATGCTTGCTTTTTTTGAAGGGTGTCATCATGACTATACAGCGTGAATCTGTTTCTGTTCACTCATATCATGACAAATGAAGCCTGAGGCAAACCGGTGTGTGTTATTAACAGGCTGAACATATCAAATCTGTAGCCTATAGAGTCAATGTCATCCCCAAGGACACATCTTAATGAATAAAGACAGAGTGTCTGGATTTCATATAAAATTCAAGCAGCTAATGCACTTCTGCTGTCAGCTGGGAGAGCTTCGTTGCAAAATGGCTGTAAAAAAACATTTGGAAGAAGAAGAAGAAGAAGGAATATAAACAAAACTGAAATGTTTTTTTTTTTTTTTTTTACTTTTTTTTTTTGGCCAAATGCAGTATTTGATTTTCTGAAATCAAATCTGCTTTATGATATCGTAGATCAATATGCATATAGCACAAATATGAACTATTTAAAATATATACATAAATATGAAAATATAGTTTATGCACCTTTATATTTATCTAGTGCTGTCAAATCACGATTAATCTGACAATATATATGTTTGTGTATATATATTTAGGGTTTGCAAAGATTAATTGCTTTTAATCCCATCCAAAATAAAAGTTTATGTTGACATAATATATTTGTGTGTGCTGAGTATAATCATTTTGTATAAATACACACACATGCATGTATATATTTAAGAAGATATGTTATTCATATATAAGATATTTTTATTTATAGGCTATATACAGTAGCCTATTTACGTGCAAATAATTCTTAAAGATATACTTTTTATATATATATACAAAGTAATTATACACAGCACACACATATATTATGTAAATATTTTTTATTTTATTATGGAAGCGATTAATCGCAATTAATCTTTGCACAGCCCTAATATTTACACGTTTTATATTGTACATATATATATATATATATATATAATATAAATATGATAATATAAATATACATATATTATATAACCTAAACAAAAAACTTTAATCTCAGATGCGATTAATCGATTTGACAGCAAGTGAAAATATGAATCATCAATCATCCTTCTCTCTTTAAAGCTTTTTTTTCCTTTCTTTTTCTTCTTCTTCAATTATTAAGACACCATGCATTTCAACTCTATCTGAAATACTACTTTACTTCCGTTGCATGTCATGATTGATCCACGTGTAAAGTGAGCAGTGTTTAGGACTATGGGTGACAGAACATCTTACCTGAAATCACTGTACGGGTGAATAATCCAGAATCCCGCGGATTTGACCCGTTCCTGCTCCCGTTCCACCGCCTTCTCGCTCCCAAACATCCTCAGGGAAAACTTGTTGACCCCGGGCTGCAACATCGCGCCGAACTGCCTGTGCATGAAGCCCGCTTGATAATACCTCTCGTCGTCCGGGAGGATCTCCTCGATGCCCTCCAGCTTTATAAAGCCTGCGGGCTGCTGATGCTCCGGGAGCCCGTGATGCTGTTGACTCGTACCGGAGGACTCTTCCCCGTCTCCTCCGCCTTGCGCTCCGGGCTCCACGGCTCCCGGTGGGCTCTCCTCGCTCGGGGTGACTTCAGTCTCCGTGATCAGAAGCCTTTCCTCCGCTAAATCCGAGTCTTGGACGTGCCTGCTCGTGATTGACGAAAGACTACCTCGGAACCTCCTGCAATCCCCGTTGGAGCTGGTCTTCACGGGTCTCCCGATGTCCGTCTCCATGATCACGGACTCCCCGTTTTTACTCTCCCCGGACGGCATGGGTTTCATCCGGATGCTCTTCCTCCGGGTGTCTTCAGCATCACCCATTATAGACGCTTTCTGCCCGATGTGCTGTGGCAAACTATACAGCCTTTTACGCATGGACGAATGCAACCTGTCCATTATGACATTGAAGCGAACGCGCGAACAATTCAATGACAAATTAATCCGGTTTGCTACATAAACACCCTTGCAACAGATCCCGAATAGTCTGAAGGGTCACCTGTCACCTGCCATTAGGCTTCCCAAATTCGCCAGATCCAGGTCTCCGGCTTCAAGGCACTGAGTGTGTTGCTGCGCGCACGTAAAGTCTGAGGACTGAATCACGTGTGAGGAGCGCACGCACGCGGAGGTCACGGACCCTCAGGATCCCCGTCAGCTGTCAATCACATTCACAACAAGCAAACACCCGAGATCCCGGTAACCCACATGATCAGCCGGCGGGCACCACCATCTCCGAGTCCCGAGTCCTGTGATCCCCTGAATATGGTGATGCTGTTCTGTCGGGTTGCCATAGAAGCGAGAGCTCAGCCCACCCACTCAGTGTCAGGTGCCCGACACTCACGATAAAGGCGATCTGCGCCGCGCACGGGATATTTTTTTACGCACAAACTTTACATTTAGGGTGCCTTCATCAATGCAAATGACATTGTCTGATTATTATTTTTATTTGAGTGTGTAAGTGTGTAAGAGAGAGTGAGAGAGAGTAGGCTATGTGAGTGTGTGTGTGAGAGAGAGAAAGATAGTGTGAGTGTGTGCGTGTGTGAGAGAGCGAGAGAGAAGCGACTAAAACCTGACAAAATCACCAAAAACCTCTCTAAAGGGACGTCCGCATTTGTAAATCTGGTATAAAAAAAATAATTAAAGTGTTTTGTTTAGTTTTTTTAAGTAAAAATGCAGAAAGTTTTGTGTGATGGGTAGATTCAGGGGTCGGGTTAGTGTGAGTGTGTGTGTTTGTGTGTAAGTTTTTAGAGGTTGGGTGGGTTAGTGTTAGGGGTCGGGTTAGTGTAAGCGGGGAGAATATGCAAATTGGACAGGAGAAGTAGCAAAACGTACTGTAAGTGTGTATTTAGGGTTAGTGAAAGGGGATAAAATATGAAGTTTGAACATATATGGAAATGAATGTCCCCATTTAGACAGCTATAAGTAAACGTGTGTGACGAAGACCACCAGTGTTTAGCAAGTTAAAAAAAACACTGTTTTTTTAAAAGCAAGTTAACTTAAAAAAGTTAATCTTCAATAATTACTCGTTATAAAAATTATTGGATTCGTCTAAATCTCATTTTTCAAGGACAAAGTAATTAATTACACCCAACACTTCACACAATATTCGCATTTAACAGCTTTTTTACACGCAAAAAATCAAGATTTAGAGTGGCTTTAACATTATTAACTAAAAACAATTATTACACAATTTTTTTTTTAATTTTTAGAACTAACTCTAAACGCGATGTTGAAAATATATAGTAAGGATCCTGAGGCATGCGCATTGCGCGGTAGTATGCTAGTAGCTACTACTTACGTTATTTGAAATATAACCGTCAATCGCCCTTCCTCCGCCTATCAGTTTTACTCGCTTGCTTCGCTTTAGTTTCGTGGGAGAAAACATGGAAAGTGACCCTTCAACCAAAGAGCAGTCGCAAGACACGACAATTTCCAAAACTGTTTGGAAACTGCGACGTTACGGTCGGTTTCTGCCCAAAGAAAAGGGAAAATCCAGGTCCTCAGGAAGCAACTGCGCGTGGAAGGTGAGACGACGTGGGAGAAAAGTCCCGCCCTTTTCAGCTTTCAACGTCCGGTGTTTCAACGGAAGGGAAAACAGGACAATTTCGTGAAATTATATTTATTTTATTATTCATTCAAAAACCTCAGTCTGTGAAAAAATGCAAACATAGGCCTAGTAGTTTAACCATTAGCCTAACTTAGCTGTTGTTGAAAAAAGATTTTAAGCCAGTAAGAGAAAACAATAAAGTGCCAGATATTCTAAACAGTTAGATTTGTTTAAACTAAAGACATTGGAGATGCTTGCTTGTGTAGTTGTCCTCTACTACTATATTAAATTGTTTTCAGTGGTGTTTGGTGTATTGCTCTATTGCATTAATGGATGCTGGGTGGTTGCTAGGCGTTGTTAAGTGGATATTGGGGTTTTGGATGGTTTCTAAGGCATTGTTAAGTGGATACTGGGTGTTTTGGATGGTTTCTATGTGCTTTGAGTGGTTTCTAAGGCATTGTTAAGTGGATAGTGTGTGTTTTGGATGGTTTCTGGGGGTTGTTAAGTAGGTGCTGGGTGTTTTGAACGGTTTCTATGTACTTTGGGTGATTTCTAGGGCGTTGTTAAGTGGGTGCTGGGTGTTTTGGATGGTTTCTAGGGTGTTGTTAAGTGGGTGCTGGGTATTTTGGATGGTCTCTCTAGGGTGTTGTTAAGTGGGTGCTGGGTGTTTTGGATGGTTTCTAGGGTGTTGTTAAGTGGGTGCTGGTGTTTTGGATGGTTTCTAGGGTGTTGTTAAGTGGGTGCTGGGTGTTTTGGATGGTTTCTAGGGTGTTGTTAAGTGGGTGCTGGGTGTTTTGGATGGTTTCTAGGGTGTTGTTAAGTGGGTGATGGGTGTTTTGGATGGTTTCTAGGGTGTTGTTATGTGGGTGCTGGGTATTTTGGATGGTTTCTAGGGTGTTGTTAAGTGGGTGCTGGGTGTTTTGGATGGTTTCTAGGGTGTTGTTAAGTGGGTGCTGGGTGTTTTGGATGGTTTCTAGGGTGTTGTTAAGTGGGTGCTGGGTGTTTTGGATGGTTTCTAGGGTGTTGTTAAGTGGGTGCTGGGTGTTTTGGATGGTTTCTAGGGTGTTGTTAAGTGGGTGATGGGTGTTTTGGATGGTTTCTAGGGACTTATTAAGTGGATGCTGGGTGTTTTGAATGGTTATGTGCGTTGGCCTGTGGGTGATTTCTATGGCATTGTTAAGTGGATGCTGTGTTTTCTGGGTTGTTGCTTACCTTCTCAAAATGAGTCCACCCTTAAATCTCCCTTATATTCTGGTCTCAAAAACACTTTTATTATCATTGTTTCTTTCAGATTTTCGAGTCCAGTGAAAGCGCCGGTCAGCTGGAGCTGAATATTCTGGGCTCTGGTCATCTGCTAGTATCTCAAGGCCAGGAACTCTTGGTAAGATTAGGTAACAACACACAGTATCTGTCCAGTGACCAATTAAAATGTATTTTAGGGGCTTGTTGGCTGTTTATGAAATGGTTCTCTCTAAGCCGTCGACACTCTTCTACCCATCAGGCTGTAAGTGCAGGTCAGGGTAGCGCAGGTTCTGAGCCCATCATAAGAGCTTGACCGTATTTCCCTTCTTTCTGAAAGAACAGCATAATCCCGCTGTCGCTGTCCCTCAGGGATTGCCAGGCTGAGTGCTTCGGATATCTCCCAACAATAAGCCTCAATCTTGGACTCGTGGACACAATAGTCTCTGGCTCCTCATGGTGCATTTTGGAGAAAGAGTCACATTTCAAGCTTTTATGCAGAACAACAGAGGCAGCGCGTTCGTCCAGAGTAAAGCTTTCGGTGATTCTGAAAGGTTCATTCACGGATATGTGTCTATAATCTGAACACCACTTTTTTATGATATGCAGCCAGCCAGTTTGCAAAGTAGTTCCCAAAATGCAATAAAGCCTTACATTTCCCATTTCCATCAAATGTGTTTCTTAAAATCAGTAGTTTTTTTGTTCTAAAGTTACATAATCTAAAAAAAAGTGCAAAGAAAATCTTATTTTATCTTTAGGCATCTTTGCATAGACGAAAAATGTTAACTTAATGGTTGTTGCAGGTGCCATTTATTTAGTCACTGCTCTTTCTACATCATGTATCATGGTGATAAATCAAAGAAAGTCATTTTAGTTTTATGCCCGGTTTCACAAACTGAAGGCTTCAGTTTAAAATGCATGTTTGAGCTGTCTTAACTCAAAGCTACTTATCTGTAAATATGTCAGTGCCAGTGTTTCGTCTCAAGATGCACACCTTTTTTTTTTTTTTTTCTAAGGCACGTTTATAAAAGATACTAATTTAGCTCAAGCCTAATCCTGGCTTAATCTAACCCCTGTCTGTGAAACCAGGCCATAGTTTTACAAGAAATGAGGTGAAAGTGTCCCTGTAAAACTTCATCCACTTTAGTAGAAGCAATAGTAATACAGGTGAAACTGGAAAAAATATAATATCGTGCAAAAGTTCATTTATTCCAGTGATTCAACTTAAAAGCTGAAACTAATATATTATATAGACTCATTACATGCAAAGTGAGATATTTCGAGCCTTTATCATCAAAATTATAACAAATAAAAGCTTGAAATATCTCACTTTGCATGTAATATAGTCTATATAATATATTAGTTTCACCTTTTAAGTTGAATTGCTGAACGATATTCTCCTTTTTTCGACTTTCACCTGTAGTAGTTGAATGGTTCCTGGTCACACAGTGCCTGTGTCGTGGTGAACATGGCGGTCGTGGCATTGAGGTTGTTAGTAGAGCCCCCTTCTGACATGCTTGTGTAACAGCAAAAATAACTGCACTTAATGTCTCAATGGAGAAAATATTTTTTAATTAGGCTATAGAGGCATCCACCCACGCAACATCCTTGCATTGTTGTTGCAACTTTTGCATTGGTAAAAAAAATTAATATTTTCTCCTGAACATAACATTTTAGTTGATAAGTACAGTATGTTAACTGATCATTGTGATTGTCAGACTGCATTAGACACACTGGAGGAGGCTGGCCTGCATATATGATGTGTTTTCAGCCTGATATAATCCTATTAAACGAGTCTCTGTTGGATAATGATGATGTGTGGTTCTGTTTTCTTTTTGTAGGAGGGTTTTTCTTTGCTCAATGCACAGAGCTTCCTGAAGATCCAGCATAAATCAGACAGTCTGCTGTTCAACATTACATTAAAGGTGAGAAGCAGCACTGTGATTTCTCTCTCTCTCTTTCTCTCTCTCTCTCTCTCTCACACACACACACATTTACCTGTTTAGGGTGAAAGATCCAGAGAAACTCGACTGGACTTGATTTGCACGTGTTGTCCTGAAGGCAGGCTCCGCCTCTTTGTCCTTGAAAGCAATCAACAATTTTAAAATGCAAATTAAAAAAATAATAGTTGCTTCTGAGTGACCTTCAGCTTACAGCTCAAAGACAGACTCTGTGCATTGTTAATTAAGCTAATGATCTCTTCTCCAACAAAAAACAAACAAAAACATTGTTCATGAATACTGATGCTTACCTTGAAATAAACAAGTCCCTACTGAAGTTGCATTATTGTTAAACAGCACTGCATCCTATAGGTGGAAATGCAATGCATAAATGGTTGTTTGTTTTACGCTGAAGTTTAATAATTTCTTATGTTCCACTGGCACTGAAATCGAGCTGGTCCTCACTGCAGAACATGAAATCCACGGGGAGGAGTCGGATCCAGATCCAACTCCTCCCACCTCACATATACCTAAACCTACCCAGCTCCACCCCCTGATCCCTAAACCCACCCCTAAACTTACCCAGCTCCACCCCCTGATCCCTAAACCCGGCCCTAAACCTTCTCAGCTCCACCCCCTGATCCCTAAACCCGGCCCTAAACCTTCTCAGCTCCACCCCCTGATCCCTAAACCCACCCCTAAACTTACCCAGCTCCACCCCCTGATCCCTAAACCCGGCCCTAAACCTTCTCAGCTCCACCCCCTGATCCCTAAACCCACCCCTAAACTTACCCAGCTCCACCCCCAACATGTTTTCTCAATAAAAGTTAATACAAAAATAAAATAAAATACCAACTACCAACTAGCATTGAGTCAAGGGGCAATCACTCTTACTTTACAGTATCAAATTAAACCGATCTACATAATAGTATATAACTGACTTTAAACAGTTATGAACAGTCTTAAAGAAAAACCGTGATGGTAAGTAGTAGGACTAGTCTCAGCCATTCATGCAACCGAGGTCTCAGTGTTTCTCTCCGTGTGTGTGTGTGTGTGTGTGTGTGTAGGGAGAGAGCCGGTTGCTTAGGCTGCAGTTTGAGGGCACTAGTCGAGCAGAAGCTGCAGGTTTCTGTGGGAAAGCTGTGGAGAAACTGCGGGATTACGTTCCGGTCCAGGAGCATCTGATCAATCCTGCATCTGCAACATCCAACCCTGAGGAGCCTGGGACATCTACACCACAGCAGCAGCAGCAGGTCAGAGATACTCCACCTAAAACTCATCCATCCATCCATCCTCACGTCCATCCTTCCTTCTATCCGTCCATCCTTCTATTCATCCATCCATCCATTTATCCATCCTTCCATTCATCCATCCACACATCCTTCAATTCATTCATCCATACTCATGTCCATCCTTCCATCCATCCTTCTATTCATTCATCCATCCATCCACACATCCTTCTATCCATCCATACTCACGTCCATCCATCCATCCATCTATCCATCCGTCCACACCCTTCCATCCATACATCCACCAATCCTTACATCCATACATCCATCCTTACGTCCATCCTTCCATTCTTCCTTCTATCCATCCATCCATCCATTCATACAGCCATCCTCACATCCATCCTTCCATCCACACATCCTTCAATCCATACACCCATACTCATGTCCATCCTTCCATCCATCTTTCTATTCATTCATCCACACATCCTTCTATCCACCCATCCTTCAATCCATACATCCATCCTCATGTCCATCATTCCATCCATCCTTCTATTCATTCATCCATCCATCCATCCACACATCCTTCTATCCATCCACTCACGTCCATCCATCCATACCCTTCCATCCATACATCAATCTTTCCATTCATTCATCCACTCATCCTTCCATCCATACATCCATCCTTACGTCCATCCTTCCATCGTTCCTTCTATCCATCCATCCATCCATTCATACAGCCATCCTCACATCCATCCATCCACACATCCTTCAATCCATACATCCATCCTCATGTCCATCCTTCCATCCATCCTTCATCTATCCATCCATCCACACATCCTTCTATCCATCCATACTCACATCCATCCATCCATCCATCTGTCCACACCCTTCCATCCATACGTCAATCTTTCCATTCATTCATCCACACATCCTTCTATCCATCCATCCACACCCTTCCATTCATACATACGTCCATCCATCCATTCATTAATCCATTCATCCACACATCCATCCTTCTATTAATTCATCCTTCTATTCATACACACGTCCATCCATCCATCCTTTTATCCATCCATTTAATGTTTGTTAATATTAAATGGAAAAGTATGGGGAAATAATGTTATGTAGAAAATTAGACATTGACTTAAATACATTTTTGTCATATTTGATTCAAGTTAATTATGACAAATAATTAATTTTAATTTGGAGTTTTCATCACTAGGTGGTGCTGTTGCCACATAATGATATTTAAATAAATGGGCGCCGAGTGAAATAATCCCACCCTCAGCAGAACTGCTTATTTGTGAATCTGAAATGTAAACACACAGACTTGAGGCTCTAAAGATAGCGAACACAAGCACAAAGGGAATTCTCTTTGTAAAATATGGTTAGCCACGATGTCTCCCTGCGGCAGGGATGAGAACGATTCTGAGGGATGAGGATATTCAATTAGTAATGAGAGTATTGATCGGCTGGTGAGGCCCGAGACTATAATGAATGAATCTATTTCTGTTTCCACTTCAGGCCCCTGAAGATGCGCCACAGGAGGCCCCTGTCGTTGCCATGGGAGCGCTGTCAATCAAACACCTTTCTCAGGTACCATGATTACACTTAAGCCTGTATCTGGTGTTGACTCGCTGAATCAGATGCTGTTGTCAGTGATATTTTAATTTGACCTCTGAGATGTCATCCGTGAAGTGCACACTGACTTTTTCAAGCATTATAATCTCTTCCTCTTCAGTTCTTTCTGGGCGAGTGTGAGCTGCCGCTGCCGATGGCGTATCATCAGAGCATGCTGCCCTCTGGAGGCCTGGAGGCATTACTGCGCCTCTGTCTGCTGGATGCTGGCTTTCCTGCTTTTGTTGAGGAAGTCGAGAAGAAGCTAAAGGAGCTAACGCAAGAATGAGGTAGAGCAGAGCTAAAAACATTATTAAAAACATTACTATAAAAAACACTGCTCAAAATCAAAAGAAAAAATGGCAAAAGCATATAAAACTACTAAAACTTAAAATATACACGTGTGTGTATGTATGTATATAATTAAAATAATTAAAAACTATATAATAGTATATAAATAATACTAAAATAACTGCTCAAAATCAAAATCAGTAAAAATGACAAAAAGCACATAAAATTACTAAAACGGTAACTAAAATAAAAAAATAAAGATGATTCAAAACTATATTAAATACTATAATATAAATAATACTAAAATAACTGCTCAAAAATCAAGACGAGTAAAAATGACAAAACCACATAAAATTACTAAAACTAACTAAAATGAAAATTAAAAATAAATAAATAAAGCTAATTCAAAACATTAATAAATTCTATAATAGTTTATAAATAATACTAAAATAACTGCTCAAAATCAAAATCAGTAAAAATGACAAAAAGCACATAAAATTACTAAAACTGTAACTAAAATAAAAAATAAAGATGATTCAAAACTATATTAAATACTATAATATAAATAACACTAAAATAACTGCTCAAAAATCAAGACGAGTAAAAATGACAAAACCACATAAAATTACTAAAACTAACTAAAATGAAAATTAAAAATAAATAAATAAAGCTAATTCAAAACATTAATAAATTCTATAATAGTTTATAAATAATACTAAAATAACTGCTCAAAATCAAAATCAGTAAAAATGACAAAAAGCACATAAAATTACTAAAACTGTAACTAAAATAAAAAATAAAGATGATTCAAAACTATATTAAATACTATAATATAAATAACACTAAAATAACTGCTCAAAAATCAAGACGAGTAAAAATGACAAAACCACATAAAATTACTAAAACTAACTAAAATGAAAATTAAAAATAAATAAATAAATAAAGCTAATTCAAAACATTAATAAATATTATGATAGTTTATAAATAATACTAAAATAACTGCTCAAAATCAGTAAAAATGACAAAAAGCACATAACATTTCTAAAACTGTAACTAAAATAAAAAAATAAAGATGATTCAAAACTATATTAAATACTATAATATAAATAACACTAAAATAACTGCTCAAAAATCAAGACGAGTAAAAATGACAAAACCACATAAAATTACTAAAACTAACTAAAATGAAAATTAAAAATAAGTAAATAAATAAAGCTAATTCAAAACATTATTAAATACTGTAATAGTTTATAAATAATACTAAAATAACTGCTCAAAATCAGTAAAAATGACAAAAAGCACATAAAATTACTAAAACTGTAACTAAAATAAAAAAATAAAGATGATTCAAAACTATATTAAATAATATAATAGGACATAAATAATACTAGAATAACAGCTCAAAATGAAAACTAATAAAAATGTTGAAAGCACATAGCAATTAAAAATGAAACACACACACACACACACATATATAAATTAAAGCCAATTCAAAACTGTAATAGTATATAAATAATCCTACCCGAATACTGCTCAAAATCCAGTTACGCCTTTGATAAGCTCCGCCCCCACTGGTTACGGTTGCTAAGGGAGAAAAGCTTTACAGAATGCACATTAACGCAGGAGTATTTTTGGAACCTTTATTCTGAAAAAGGAAACAATTGGTTTCACATAGTTTGTAATGGCTTTAGCTCCACCCACTTCCTCCCTTGTATGTTGGTCCGTTGTTATAGCGACACACACTGTATCGATCGATCAGCTGTCATGCAACTACAGCAGTGCATTTCAAAATGCGAAGCACCCTTATCTCACTGTCCCGTTAAAGCTTTTTTATTCTCAGAAATTAAACAAACCCACCCCACCTTACAATTGTCAGTAGGTCTATATGAATACATATTGCATAGGATTATAGCCATGCTGTACAAGAATCATCTTTTCTCTAAAAAGAAACGACATTTAAAAAAAAAAAAGATATTATTTTTCTCTTTACAGATGCTATCGTAATATTTGAACACTTACAGCACCACATGTACAAGACGTCTAAATAACTCTAGAAAATAAATGTTTACATGTATCCATTTCATTTAATACAATATCAGCTTTTTTTAAAGATTAAATACTGTTCTGCCACTCACAAAGGATCTTGCATTCTAGTTTAAGACAAAACACCTCCTTTTAGTATTGGATGATAAACTGTACAAAGATCTCGATGATTCCTTACTTTTTTTATCCATTTAAATTTCTTTAAAAACACACACACGCTGATATGCTCTCTCTCTCTCACACACACACATAGGTTATTCATTTGGATGCAACGCCATTTAAAGTAACGATAGAAAAACGATATCTGAATCTTATTAGATTATGTTATTGCATGCATTCGAGACAACATGTAGATATGAAAAAGAATTAGTGCAGCAGGAGGGCATGATAAAAGAACGAAATGCAACGTTAACAGCACATGTAGTAAAATCATCATCACCTTCATGATTCAGTCAGCGTCCACATTCACACAGATCATGAGCCTGAATAAGGCAAACTTAAGACAGTCTTTATTGTTCGTTTGTGCCAGTGTAATGCTGTCGTTGTTGTTTTCTTCACCATCGTGAGGAAGGTTGTGCATCGCTGGAGCTTCTCCTCTCCTCCGTATGGTCAGGATTGGTCATCTGGTAACAAGACAAGGGATTTAATCAACTAAAGGGAACATTTGCATGCCGGTTTGTAACTCCGAATGAATTGCAAACCTTTTCTACGCTGGTCCGACGGCTCAGTTGGTGTTTCGCTGCCGTACGTTTTTCTCTTTGTGGTTGTTCGTAGAGTTTGTTTTTCTGCATGACAGATGTGTACGGTTCACAATCGATGCATCGTAACAAATGAGTTCTACAAGTGTTAATAATAAACGCATGTTCATGATTCGTTGTGTTCTTACATTGGTGCCGCTGGTTCATCATCTTCATCAGGGGCGAAGAACATGCAAGAAAAAAAAGACATTAATCCATCGGTTATTTCACATTAAATGGTTGTTGTAAAATGCAATGAGTAAATGAATTAGTTGTATTATTGTCTGGACTCGTAGTGTCACTTTTGAAAAGTTCAGTAATTCAACTTAAAAGGTGAAACTAATATTATAGACAAAGTGAGATATTTCAAGCCTTTTTTTGTTATAATTTTGATGATTATGCCTCATCAGGGGGTGGTTCTCATAAGCTATAAGATATAACCATCAAAATGATAACAAATAAAGGCTTGAAATATCTCAAATAAGATCAAACTGAAAAGTCCAAAAACAAAGTAAGTGTGAAAGCGCCTTAAAGGAGTAGTTCACTTTAAAAAAAACTTTTGCTGATAATTTACTCACCCCCGTGTCATCCAAGATGTCCACGTCTTTCTTTCTTCAGTCGAAAAGAAATTAAGGTTTTTGATGAAAACATTCCAGGATTTTTCTCCATATAATGGACTTCAATGGGGTCCAAACGGTTCAAGGTCCAAATGAGAGTTTCAGTGCAGCTTCAAAGGGCTTTAAACGATTCCAGACAATGAATAAGTGTCTTATCAAGCGAAACGAGCGGACATTTAATAAATAAATAAAAAAGTTTAAGTTTTATAAGCTCAAATCCTCACCTTGCTCTGTTCTGTGATGTGGTTTCGTGACTTTCCAGTTCGATCAAAATGAACGAATCTTTTTTCGAGTCATTTCGTTCGTTGAATGAATCAAATGACTCAAAAAAGATTTTTTCATTTTAACCATAAAACTTAAACTTTTTTATTTATTTTTGAAATGGCCGCTCGTTTCGCTTGATAAGACCCTTATTTATCGTCTGGAATCGTTTAAAGCCCTTAGAAGCGGCACTGAAACTCTCATTTGGACCTTGAACCGTTTGGACCCCATTGAAGTGCATTATATGGAGAAAATCCTGGAATGTTTTCATCAAAAACCTTAATTTCTTTTCGACTGAAGAAAGGAAGACGTGGACATCTTGGATGACATGGGGGCGAGTAAATTACCAGCAAAAGTTTTTTTTTTTAAAAAGTGAACTACTCCTTTAAATGCAAATCACTAATGGCACCATGATGTAAAGTGTTACCAATGATCCTTATCCATTAATCAAAAACAACAGCACAAGACTCGAGTCTGGAGATGTTTATAGAGCGGGGTATCGCTGATGCAGAAAGGTTGTTCAGTTAGAGGTCACTGAAGAAGAGAGATGAGTCTATGGGTAGTTCTGGTTAGTGTATGCATGTCACATGCGCCCACACACAGCAGCATTCCCAGCGCTGGACAACAAGCAGGTTATGACAGGACAATGCGAGTTAAAAACCTCATCCTTCTGAATACACAACCTTCAGAAATAAAAAATAATCTGTTTTTTTTTTCTCTCACTATATCATAACACAGCAACACTGTCGGGCCACATCTGGTACATGTGGATTCAACGTTAACCGGATGTGGGCCGACAATTTAGTAACCATCCCAACTCACAATAAGGGTGATTTATGGGATCTCTACTGGACCAAAGATTTTATTTCGCTCAATAATCACTGAAACACTCAAATACCCAAAATTCGTTTGATATGAAACTTGAAAAAGTAGAATATCGTTCATTTATTTCAGTAATTCAACTTAAAAGGTGAAACTAATGTTATATAGACTCATTACATGCAAAGTGAGATATTTTAAGCCTTTATTTGTTATAATTTTGATTATGCAAACCCCAAATTCAAAATTAGAATATTGTCAAAAGGTTTTCATAATAAAGGCGACACGCAACGATTCTATTTTATTTTATATAATTATTTATAAACGATTGCAGCTCTTAAAGGGGCCACACCTTATTTACACTCGTTACAGTCTGAAATAAAACAAGATGAGAAATTAAATATTCACAACACTTTCTATGATGTAGTATGCTTGCTTATCAAAGGACGTAATAAGAAATGACTCTTACATTAGCCTAGTGAGAAGAGGATGTTGGGGGAATCACTTTATTTCTCTTTTTCATCAAACCGCAATTTTTGCAAATTCCTGCAATTTCATCGCA